TGCTAGCCCAACCAATAGGCCTAGAGGATGTGTGAACCCGCTGGTGGGCCCACGCTTGCACATGTGGGCCATGTGTAGAGAAGTACTACACACTCAACTTAGTCCAAACTGGAAAGTCGCCTAAGAGAATGAAATAATATTTTAAATGATAGGTCTCTCATGTTGCATATTTTTGCATTTCACGACCCTAATAGTGGGATCACTTACGGAGTATTTCTTAAAATACTTAAATCATGTGCTATTCTTACATTTCAAGTAAATGCAAAACACCCATGTACAAATGATGTAGGTAACTCGTGGAGATCATGGAACCGATGTTGGGGTAATTGCTTTATATCTTATTTTATAGTCGTGCATTAGATTAGGGCAATATTTTATTTTATAGTTTTTGAATATATTGTTTATTCTCGTTTCTTATATGTTTTTGGATCAATCTAAAGATTTTATTTTTTACCTGTGGTATAATTATTATACCAGACCTGGTTTGACTTAAAAAGATTAAATCATCACTTTTTTTTTTTTAATTTTTTTACAGATGTGGTTTAAAATGCTAATATACATCTTCTAAATAGAGACAAATTTCAAAATTAATACATAATATCCCACTTACAAACATGATCAGTTAAACCAGAGGCAATAGCAACACAACACATTTTAAAACTCTAAGGATAGTTAACCATGGTTAGGTTATTGGGGGGGGGGGGTAATGAAGGTTTGTTTAGGTGACCAGTAACCAAATAAGGTGTTGGATTATGGTGGATGGTCAAAAGTTGCGGCCCACTAATGGCCCATTATCATTGGGCCTCTAGTGGATTGTTGAATCAGTCATCAGCCCTATTCTAATACTACAAGAACATATGTTAATGGTATCAAATTTATGAACCTGCTTAATTTATAAAAATTGTACAATTATTATTATTTTATAATATCACATCATTTATTATTTATTATATTATACATTAATTTAAAAAAAAATGAACTGGGTTTATAATATAGACTTTTTAGAATTTGAACTCTTTGGATCAAAATCCAGATTTCTTACCACACATGTATTAAACAATATAAGGCCACGGTCAGAAAATTCTAAAAACAATTTGAAGAACTGGATATTATATTTAGGTTTATATCTACAATTGAATATAATCTATTATTACTAAGACCGAAAATTGGAGAAAAGAAATGGTTAAACCTTAGAACTGGAGATTTGGAGGGGTGCGCCAGGCCCAAGCTGTAGTGCAACGCTTGGGCGACGCTTGAAGGCCCCAGTAGCAAGCTACTGAAGTGGGCCCTCCCCCTTGAAAAATTAATTTAATATCATGTGGGCCGATGGCCCACGTATCAGATATTAAACTGATAAGAACAGATACTACACTTGATCTTAGCCAAAAGGCCGAGAAAGGTATGATTTGTGAAGCCATCCAAACGCGTTTATATACTCGAGAGTCTTGCTCCCAACTTCCAATCTAACGATGTGGGACAAACTGGTTTCAAGTTGCCTTGCGTTTCCACCGATTTCTTTCTCACTTTATATTGTGGTAACCACTTCTGTGTATTATAAATTATGATTGATTCTGTCATTTATAAATATTTTGTTTCTGATTTTTAGTTCCAAAAATTATAATTGAAGTTAATAAAGTGTGGTAAATTATATTCGGATAAGTTTAGCTTTTGATTCTTTTGTTCCGTTCTCAAGTTCTTGAACCTATAAAGTCTCATTTCAACCAATTTATTAATATTTTCTCGAGCCAATTTTTATTAACCTAATGACATCAAACCCTTGTTTCAGTTTGGGCTACTGGATCCGCTACTTTATTTTTCGGTACCAATATTTAAGAATTGTTTGCCCCTACTTGCTACATCAAAAACTAAATCACAAGTTTCTAATTAAAAAAACGTGCAACTCCAACCCCTTCAAAGTCGAACTTCCTCTTAGACATTATGATCGTTTAGTCGATAATTCTAACTTCTAATCATCACACGTAACAGAACCCTAAATCGACATGAGAAATCGAAGTACTCTACAAACCTTAAATCTAAGATTTGAAAATAATTAAGTTGAAGCTAAGGGTTTAGCAATTGGAACGGCGACTCGACAGAGCGGAAGATAATTTAATCTTCCCGCTACTTCGATAGTCCGAAGAGAACTTCCTCTTAGACATTATGATGTCTATTTTTATTTCTTTGTTTCGATGATTATTTTGATCCCCGCACTTATTTATATAACTTTATTAACTAGCACACATTTTAAATTATTATGTCCCTAGAAATAAAATATAAATACAAACAATTTTTTTATCCCTTCTCCCGTTTTCTATGAACAATACGAATCGGAGTTTGAAGAAGGGGAAGGAGAAGGAGTCCTTAGTACCTAGAAAACCCTCCTTTTTCAAATGTTACAAAAGTTGTTAAATATTTATTTCGTAAGCTCGTGCCGGAATGACTTTACCAGAGCAAATGACTACTTTGACCGTTGGGTCTTTGACGAATTTCGTGAGCCCAGCAAGTCCTCATGTATTTTATTTTAAATAAAATTTTATTGAATGTTAAACAAAATCATTAATGTCACATGATCGAGGCGGCTCTTATGAACTTATGTTAATCAATAGTGTCTTATGATCTATGTGAGATCCCACATCGGTTAGGGAGGAGAATGAATGAGAAACTCTCCATAGCATACGCGTTTTAAAAACTTTGAGGAAAAGTAAAAAAATGACAATATGTACTAACGTGGGCTTGGACCGTTACAACCTAACTTAATGATTGGTTTCACATCGTTTAACTCATATGATTTCATCTTCATTTATTGGTGCCACATGGTCCAACTCCTCTGAGCTCCATCTAATGCATAGGTACACGAGGGTTCAAGTAGTCTAGTTATGTTCTTTACTATTTCTTATACATATCAACTCTATGACATATATGACCCATGTCACTTTAGACAAGTTATTACTACCACCAACTATTTCAACGTTATGCGAACCCTGTCTCTTAGATCTTGTACATAATCAATGAATAGTTGGAGACCCTCTAAACAATCTCTACCTATCAACCTAATGGTAATGAAATCACATATCACATGCTTATGGTAATAATGCCCACCAACACAAATCACAGCCAGATAATATAAATTACACAATGAAACATACAACAAGCATAACATATAACTTAAATAAAAATTCAAATAGTTACCATGATCACCGAATTACTTAATATGTTTAGTACGTATAATTCAATCACACATCATCCATAAATTCAATAACAATTTCCATTTGCCACACTAAAATTAGATGTTGACTACAATTTGTGAGCTTTGAAAAAATTGTTCGGGTTGATTTAATGCATTATCAAACTTAATTTTTCATAGTCCCACGATATTTTATTATAAAGTTAACCTATAGTTTATTATGGAGCAAACGTTATAGGTGTTAAATTTGAAATTAGAAATTGTGAGTAGAATAATTAAATGAAGTGAATATTTATTAGGAAGTAAAATAAATTATAAGGGAAGAACAAAATTGTTATTTATTATTATTATTATTATTATTTTATTTAAAGGAAAAATGTGGAAGTGAAAATGATGGGCAAATGTCAATGATGACCGAATTTCGAAACCTAACAAACCAACCCCTAATAAAGGCGGCTTCTATTCTTTGACTAATCTACCCCTTCCCCGACGCCCGTTCTACCCTCTTGCCCCCCCTCACATTCCTTAAAAAAAAAAAAAAAAAAAAAAAAAAAAAAAAAAAAAAAAAAANAAAAAAAAAACCGGCTTAAATTTAGGATGAATTTTAGAGTGGTAAAAAAAACAAAAACTTCTTACAAGCCTTTTTTTTAAGGCTAATTTGAAAAAATAAAAAAATAAAAAATATTTGTTTTTCATTTTTTTATGTTTAAAAAATACTTTTTAATTGTAAAAAATGGTTTAATATATATATATATATATATATAAACGTTTAAAACCTACTCTTGAATTTTAAAAAATTTCAATAATATAACTTCATAAATATATTTAATTTTTTTTTAAAACTTCAAAAATATCTTTGTATAAAATACTCGAGATAATCTATAAGACATTGATAGATGATTTTCGACTGTATATTGACAATAAGAATTTTTTTTAAATTTTTTTTTATAAAGGTAAAAGATGTTAATGTTACATTTTTAAATTTTATGAGTAATTTTTAAATATAGTACTGGCTATAAAATTATTTTTAAATTATTTAAAAAAAATAGGAAAGATATATATATATTTAGTTAATACCAGAGATACAAATAAATAAATAAATATATATATATATATATATATATATATATATATATATTAAAAAAAATTATATATTTCTTATTAAAAAATACTAGTAGTTCATCCAAACTTAAAACCTTAAAACCTAATATAGAGACTTTTGAAAATCTAGAGATACAAATTGAAATGTGTTTTTTTTTTTTTTTTTTTTAATTATTTTATTTAGTTTTTTATATATATAAATAATTTACTAAAGTTGGTCTAATAATCAAAATAATTTAAAATTCATTTTTTGTTATAAAAATAAAAATCAAAGGTGCGCAATTACCCAACCAATAGAAACGTTGCAATTAATGCTTATTGTTATAACTTCTTTAGTGGCAGTTAAAAATGCACTAATTACCACGAACTACAGTAATAAAATAGATTTAAAAATTTTGAATTTATAAAAGACGATAATAAACCTATGAGGTAGGTGGTTAAATATTGAGGGAAGACGGAATAAATATAAATGTGAAAAGTTGAGTAATTAAAAAAAAAAAAAAGTACTTTTTTAAATTATAATTTTCTCCCAAATAAAATGGAAATGGGAAGATTAATCAGATAAGGACAAGAACAGTAGAAATCCCAGTGACGCAAACATCCTTTTTTACCGTTAATTTGTCCTTTTCCGTTATCTGCGCACGTTAGTATTTTGATGCAAATGGCAGCCCATCAAACCCCCCCCCCCCATCTTTCTCTCTCTTCTTTCTCTATCTACTTCTCTGCTTTCTCACGCATCGTCCAAAAGAAAAACCCAAATCATCGAACAAATCAAACCTCTCAATTCTTTTTCTCTGCGAAAACCCCTAAAAAAATCCAAAAACAAAGAGAGAGAGAGCACAAGCTTCCCCCCAAAAAGCTTCTCCCTGAGTGTTCTTCAGTCTCAGTCACTTTGTCAGGGCAGAAGAAGAAGAAGAGGAGGAGGAGGAAGAAGAAGTTCCCATAAATCACTCATCGTCTTTCCAGTTTCACTCTGTGATTCCTTCATCAGTTCATTCACTAGTAGCTTCTGCTTCTCTGTGCTTCATTTCGATTCCCTTTTTCGGTGATGTTACTACACTGCTTTTGTCATTGTTCTTTGTTGGAAAGAGCCATTTGCAGTTCGCTTTTGCATCGTCTTTGTTCTTGCTTCCCGCCCACGCTCATTTCAGGAATGGTTTCTTCGGCGTTTTGATCCAAATCTAACAGATCTGACGTGTCGGTGATGTCGGTGCTTGCGGCTTCCATCACCGCGGGTATGTTTCGTTTAGTCTTTTCTCTGCGTGTTTTATCTCGGTTTGATGGTGTTTCAGTGCTCTTTCCTTGTGACATTTGATTGTTGTCAATGTGAAGATTGGAATTCGGTAGAGGTAAAGAGGAGATTGGGATTTTGAAGCTTATGTGATTTGTTGAGCTATGAAAAAACGTCGGTGGGATTATGACGAAAAATGACTCTAGAAGGAATTTAAGGAAATTGGTGATGTGCAATTGATTCAACTCTACTTCAGTTGCCATGCTTGATTCATGATCTGGCTGGCTTTCACATTTGCTTGAACTAACGTTGTGATACCAAGCTTGCCGACACCTTCTTTGCTTAACTTTGATTGGTGCTTTCGACTCTGGATATCCATTTCTATAACTTGGCGAACTCTTGTAATCGTTTATCTTATCCCATTCAAGTGGTAAATATTGATTGAGTGTTCTATAGAAATATTTTGGTATAGATGTGTGGATTATGGTGCTGAAACTTCTCCTGGAATTTAGGGGTGAATAATTTCATAGGAAAGGGCAAATTTATACATTTTCAACTATATATATTATTTCCATTATGTTGATAATTTTGGAAAAAGTTAAGAGTTACAACCTCAAAATCCTAACCCTTTTATATAAATTTTGAAATCTTTTCCCTGAATCTGCCCCTACTGGAAAATCTGTGAGCTATTTGAAACACGCCTTTGTGGGATCGAAGAGAATTTTAGTGTGCCCGTACGATCTTTAGTAACTTTTCCAAGCCTCTTTAGGTGGCTAAGGTAGCATACATAGATGGAAACACGGAACTATTTACGTCGATACATATTTTCAGTATATGAAACCTTGATTTGGAGGTTATAATGCAGGTATATTGGAACAGGTCTCTTGCCGGTTTGCAAAGCAGTTCATTTTATTGTGGTTTGTGATTTCCATAACCAATGCCAATGTCCCCGATATACTACCAGGACCTTTGGTTGCACCCGCTACCAGTGCTATGCCTCTACCTGCAAAATTGCCTCTTCACCAATCCCACCACCGAAAATATATGTCACCACAGAGCGCGCCAATAGCTGGACTAGCACCAGCGTCTTCTCCTTATTATGGGCCTCTTATCACTTCTGGTCACCCACCCATAAGTTCAAGTTTTTCAAAACCACTGATGAAGAGTGGATCAGCTCCTCCTGGTGGTAGCCTTGAAAACATTGCTCCCATACAGTCCAGTGCTGGCGCTATTCCCTCTGGCTTACCTCAGCCACCACTTTCCCCTAATGCAGCAGGTAAGTCGTATACTGGATTTTATTTCTTCCTTGTTTTCTGATATTTTCTTTGTTGCAATTGTCTTTGAATTAAAAATGAGCTACTTTGATTAATTTTATTTGTTGATGATTACACTTATTTGAGGCATGCTCCTGGTTTTATTCATCATTTAGCAGACTGTTGCAAACCTGACATGGTGCAGAAGCGAGGAAGCGGTGATGACTGCCATTGTGTCTATCCCCTAAAAATTGATCTCCTCCTCTTGAATGTATCACAGAATCCTAATTGGAAACTTTTTCTCGAAGAGTTAGCTTCGGAACTTCGTTTACAAGTCTCTCAGATTGAGCTGATAAACTTTTATGTACTTAGTTTATCGAGGTTAAATATCTCAATGGACATTACTCCCCACTCTGGGATCAGCTTTTCTGCAGTTGATGTGACTGCAATAAACTCTTCACTTATAATGCACAAGGTTCGTCTAGACCCGACACAGGTTGGTGATTACAGTCTTCTCAATATTACCTGGTTTAAGCCTCCGCCTCCTTCTGAAGGTACATCCAATATTTCGATCAATTATTTAACCGTGCATGCTGCTAATGGCATTGTTACCGTAGCCCTAGCTTTTATAGAACATTTTGTTTTTGGTAAGTTGCAACTTATATACAATTTGGTTTGCAGTGAACTATATTGTTGATGGAGAATTAGAACTGTGCACTCTGTTTTTTGGGAGACTACCTAGATGTGTATGTTTCATGTTTGATAGTATGTATCTTTAAATGCACGCCAGAGGAAGCCGATATTTTTTACTTAATCTCTTGAACCCGAACGATTATGCTGTTCAAAATGAAAATTCATCAACAGCTCTTAATTCAAATCCAGGCTATAAAAAAACAGCTCTCAATGTCATTGTAGTACAGAAAGGCTATAAATTAGTAATGTATGAATACTTATTAAAAAAAAAAAAAGTAATGTATGAATAATTGAGGAATTAGGGTACACTCTGCTTGCAGCTGTTGCTTTTGAGGATATTAATCTTTTTGCTGTTTCATTCTATTAAGCCCTTAGGCTGTAGCTGATGTGAGTATTTACAATCACTTTCAAGTTATTGTGTTATTATATTTTCATCTGTTCTACAGCTCCTCTAGCTTCTGCATCACCAGTAGAAGCTCCAGCATATCATTTTCCAGCTTCAACATCACTCAGTTCTCCTAGTAAAGGACACCATTCTAATCTGACACTTCTTGGTATTGGCGCTGGTTTTCTGTTCCTTGCCATTCTATTTGTGTTGATAATTTGTTTATGCAAATCTCATCGTGGGAAAACTGCTGAAGCACCTCCATTAGTACCAGGTACATGTGTAAAATTTTAAACGACTTTGTCCTTAATTTCTTTCCTCTGTATAGTTTATACGTAGCTTTTGAAGAATATCTCAGTCGCCACCTCGAACCCACAGACACTTAAAGCTACTTCATTTTGTGATGAAGTATGGAACATAGTACAAGGCCCATATTATCCACTAGATTTTATGGCAATAAGGTTAATAGGAATTGCCAAATAGGAGGTAAGATCTTAAGCACTGGTCGTACAACATGAGCGTAAATGAGTTAAGTTGTGGTTTTCACAACATTATGTAAGAATTTTGCTTCTCAATCCTCATAAAACTAATAAATGGTTCTGAATTCTATTCAATGCGACATCGTTGATATCATCGTTTCTACAATTTCTATAAACTTCTTGATGTCATTTCTTTTTACTTCTATGTCAACTGTATATTCATCCATTCTTCCTACATCTCAGAAAAATCAAGGGTCACGGACAAAGCGCCTGGGGTAGGATCTTTCTCTCATCCATCTAGTATGAGATTTCTAACTTATGAAGAGCTTAAAGAAGCAACTCATAACTTTGAAGCAGCAAGCATACTGGGGGAGGGTGGTTTTGGCAGGGTTTATAAGGGTGTCTTAAGTGATGGCACAGCCGTTGCAATCAAGAGGCTTTCAAGTGGTGGGCAACAAGGCGACAAGGAGTTTTTGGTTGAGGTTGAGATGCTTAGCCGGTTGCATCATCGAAATCTCATCAAACTCGTTGGCTACTACTGTAACCGCGACTCTTCACAAAACCTGCTATGCTATGAACTTGTTCCAAATGGAAGCTTGGAGGCCTGGCTCCATGGTAACCACTCTCTCTTTCTACTGAGCGGACTAGTATTGGATGAACCTTTGAATGAAGGCAATTTATATTGAGTTTGAAATATTTGTTTACAACAACATGTCGGCAAGTTTATGTTTTTTCCCAGGTCCTTTGGGTGTTAATTGTCCTTTGGATTGGGACACCAGGATGAAGATTGCACTGGATGCTGCTCGAGGGCTTGCTTACCTTCACGAAGACTCGCAACCGTGTGTGATACACCGAGACTTTAAGGCATCGAATATACTGCTCGAGAACAACTTCCATGCCAAAGTTGCCGACTTCGGTCTTGCTAAACAAGCTCCGGAAGGCAGAGCTAATTACCTTTCTACTCGTGTGATGGGCACATTTGGGTTTGTCTCATTCCTCCTCAAATTAGTCAATTCTTGTAAATTGAATCTTGGGATTTTGATGGAATATAGTTCCCTCTCAGGTATGTCGCCCCCGAGTATGCAATGACTGGCCATCTACTTATTAAAAGCGATGTTTATAGCTACGGAGTTGTACTTCTCGAGTTGCTTACCGGAAGGAAACCTGTAGATATGTCACAACCATCAGGTCAAGAGAACCTGGTCACGTGGGTGCGTTTTTTCTTGGAGCAATTCTTTTTCTTCTCATCATTTGATATTTTGATAAATGTGCTTGCTGCTGTGCCTTTCTGGTAATCTTTGCAAAATTAGTGTAATGTTGGAAGCTAAGATGCGTGTGTTCTATTCATTTCAGGCGAGGCCGATTTTGAGAGACAAGGAACGGTTGGAAGAACTTCCTGATCCACGACTTGGAGGGAAGTATCCAAAGGAAGATTTTGTGCGGGTGTGTACCATTGCTGCAGCCTGCGTCGCTCCGGAGGCTGGCCAACGTCCGACAATGGGTGAAGTTGTACAGTCTCTTAAAATGGTGCAACGTGTGACAGAGTACCAAGACTCCATGGCGGTACCATCCTCCAACAACCGAACCAATCTTAGACAGTCGTCAACAACTTTCGAGTCCGATGGATCCTCTTCAGTGTTCTCTTCCGGACCTTATTCTGGTTTAAGCACTTTTGACAACGACAATGTATCTCGGACAGCAATTTTCTCCGAAGATCTTCACGAGGGACGATGAAAGTCTTGAAAGAAAGGTAACTAGGAATCTCACATGAATTGGTAGAATCCCCCACCATCTCTCTCTCTCCCTCTGCCTCCTTTGTAATGGTGATTGTGGAGAACTGCTGTTTCAATTTTCCCATGGCAGTGTTGCTTGTTCTCAATGTGATGCATAGATTTTGTAAATATGTGTTCTTGTAGCTTTGTTTAATGGATCATTTTTGCTTCTGATTCTTCCTCTTTTAATTAGCTTTTAATTTACTCTTTCCTAATGTTTTTTTAGTGTTCTATCAACCTGAGCATGACAATTGGTCATATCCTAATATAAATATATATTTTTATATATTTAATTTATTAAATACAATATATTTGTTTTCTCTATTTATATATAAAATATATTAAATGTTAATTTGAAAGTTTCAATTTTTCTTTAAAGTTGATCTTTATAGTTTTTATGAGCTAACGAAGGCAAATCATAGCATAGATTATAACAAAATTAATTAATTAACTTTTATTCATTATTCAACGTTTTCACTTTTATATATTATAGAGCAAATTGTGTTTACTACTGTATTCATTATATGCAAGTGGATCGTTCACGAATTGTTTGTAACTATTGTTCAAGTCCTAAAACAAACACTTAATTAATTATATATATACTTTTCTAATATTCTAATATATTCTAATACGAGAATAATTGAGCAATAAAAATATGTATATAGTCCATATTTAATTAAATTTCCAAAACCATAGATCTATTGGATCATCGATAAAAATCATATCACCCAAGCAAATCAAAGGACTACTCATATGTATTCTTCTCCGATGAACATTTAGATAAAATAATTTATAACAATTATAAAATGGGTTCGGTAAAAATTATCCTTTTCCAATTATTATTATTATGATTATTTTTTTTTTGCATAAAATGTGTAGTAAATTTCAAATAATTAACATAATTAAATCCTTTTCAATCAAATTTAGTTCCATAAATTCAAAAGCATGAAACACGGTTGAACATTGGGTATGTTCAATCATGCCCATTTTTTTTTTTTTTTTCAATTTTTACTGATTGGTGGATTGTTTTCGCAATTTGGGAAAAACAAAATGAAAGTCAATTAAGAGGAAGAAGAACATTTTATTTCCTCGTCGTAAACAATAAATTTCTAAATTTGAATGTGAATGTTATAAATAGTAAAAAGAGACGAAAGAAATTGTGGTGAAGATGATTTCAGAACAGAACAGGGGAGAGGATTACCTATTTGTAGCAGTTGCTTGAGTCAATTGTAATGGCTATTGTTCCCTTCTTCTACAGAGCCCAAATCCGCCATAGATACCCTCCATAGCCTCTCCACCGCCCTTTTCCCCTACAATTTTCGCATCTTCTTCTTCGCCGGAGGAAGAGAACAGCAGCAGAACAAAAATGGAGGTCATCAACAATGTCTTCCACCGCCTCCTCCTCCTCCTCCTCGCCCTCTCCTCTCTTTTCTCCTCCCCCGCCATTGCCATTTGCGTTCCTCGAAACACCTCCCTCTTTCAATTCTCTACTCTTCCACTTCCTACACCAAGCACCCCGCCGGTTTACATTTCGCAGTCGATATCTCGAAAACGAACGCCGAAGTCCGCGGGCAAATCGAGTTCGAAATCGGCGTCGTCGTCGTCGACGGAACCGACCGAATTGGTGCAGATCTGCGATGTGACGAGCAATCCAAAGCTGTGTGAATCCTCGATTTCATCTAGCATCCATGGATCAACGGTGAATCCTGTTTCTGCACTGAAAACGGAAATTCAGCTATCGATTAAAGAGGTGGAGGACGCAATTGCGGTATTGAAAAAACTGGACAAAGAATCTGGTTTAACGAATGCGGAAGACTCGTGCTACGATACTTGCCTGGAGAATTTCGATATGGCGATTGATGATCTACGGACCGCAACGGAAGCGATCGACGTGAATGACGTTGGTAGAATGGAGAGCGCACTGACGGCCGTATTGACGGATCTGGTGACTTGCGATGATACTTTTCTGGAGATGGGAGTGGATTCTCCATTGGACGATCTTAGTATCAAAATGAACAAGTACGCAATTAACTGCTTGGCCATTTCCAAATTGCTCCTGTGACCGAGAGGATCGATCGATCGATCTAGTTGGAGAAGATGATTGATTGATTGATGCAATGATTTGACTCAATGGACTCTGCCTCCTCTTCCTTCGTTCTTGGTTCTTGGTTCTTCTTCTTCTTCTTCTTCTTCAACCCATCGTGTTCATTTGGAGAAGATTAATTCAGCATGATGATGATGATGATCATACAACATTCTGCTCTCAATACATTCTCTCATGAATTGATGGAATAAATTTTGTAGTGATTCATTGGCATGTTGGTAATCACGCTATCATATAATAATAATAATAATATCTTAGTTTGAAACGCCTTGTAATCTAAATGTATAAATATTTAACTAATTTACCTATGGGAGACCCTTGAAGTGGGTACATAGTTTGAATCAAAGAGAACTTTGTGTTGTATCTTACCATTTGTAGCCCACCTTGTTTAAAATTTTGTGTTATATCTGACCCACTCTATTTATTGAATCAATAGTGAACTTACTTTTGATCTTCAATACTCAATCAACAGAGAACTACTAAATCTAATAATCAACAGAGAACTAGAACTACTCTGAATCAACTACTCTGAATCAACTACTCTGAATCAACTACTCTGAATCAACTACTCTGTTGAACTACCCTGATCTTGATTGAAAACTACTCTGAATCAACTACTCTGAATCTAACTACTCTGAATCTAACTACTCTGAATCTAACTACTCTGAATCTAACTACTCTGAATCTAACTACTCTGAATCTAACTACTCTGTTGAACTACTCTGAATCTAACTACTCTGAATCTAACTACTCTGTTGAACTACTCTGAATCTAACTACTCTGTTGAACTACCCTGATCTTGATTGAATCAACAGAGAACTATTCTACTACTCTGAATCTAACTACTCTGTTGAACTACCCTGATCTTGATTGAATCAACAGAGAACTATTCTGTTGATCAGAGAATTACTCTGTCAAACAACAGAGAACTAGTCTGTTGTTTGAATCAACAGAGAACTAGTCTGTTGTTTGAATCAACAGAGAACTAGTCTGTTGTTTGAATCAACAGAGAACTAGTCTGTTGTTTGAATCAACAGAGAACTTTATGTTGTATCTGACCCCACCGTGTTTGAATCAACATAGAACTTTATGTTGTATCTGACCCTATTTGAACCAACAGAGAACTTTGTGTCGTAGTATCTCACCCACCATGTTTGAACCAACAGAGAACTTTGTATCTGACCCACCAGAACTTTGTATCTAACCTACCATGTTTGAACCAATAGAGAACCTACCATGTTTGAACCAATAGAGAACAAACCGCATTAAAGAACTTTGTATTTGAAGAATATGTGTTATATTGTTAGTTTTAAATTGATTTTCTATCCAAACGAATGCCTATTTTATTTTTATTGTTTTAGTATTGTAATAAACATAAGAGCTGGAGCGGAGATTAACTTTGTAATTGAATAAAAAGCTCACATTTTTTAATTTAGGGAACGAACTCATATTTTTCCCTTTTGATAAGATGATAAAAAAAATCTCCTCATTTATTTGAGTTGTAATTCTCAAAATAAATTACTAAATTCAATTTTATAATATTTCTAAGAAAGGTAAAAAAAACTTTGCAACATAATTAAAAATAGAAAACAAAAAATAAAATGATTAATAAAGGATTGTATCAATTGGGCTCATACAAAACGAAAAGCCCGGCCCATAAGATCCATATCCAAAATATGGGTCGCAGCCCACAACATGTCGGGCTCGAGGCGTGTGATTGTGAAGTGGCTATCTGTGGAGTCCCTGAAGGAGATATTCACAGAGGTCGCTGCCATCAAATTACTTGCTCGACCCATCTTCTTCTTCTTCTCTAGATAAGACCTCTTCGGACGTTGCTCCCAACTCACGCCGGACACTAATTCTCCATAATTTCTTCTTCCTCTATTGCTTTGCGCTGAGATTTTGTTGGAACCTTTAGCTCCGACAATGGCCCATACTTTCGCCTACACGTCTGCCTCGTCTTTCCGATTAAACTCCCTCGTTTCAGTTCCGAATTCTAGCTCCTCTTCCGAGTCCCACAAGCTCTTTCTTCCTGTTCTGCCTTTTCATTCGAGGTACCCCTTCTGGGTGGTTTTCGTTTATTTTTATGTTTCGATGCAATGTTGGTAGTATTAGGGTAGTTCGCTTGAATTGGATGTTTTTGAATGTCAAATATTATGAATGTGTGGGCTCTTTGTTGACAATGCAATGGATTTTCTGAATTGGTGTATTTTTTAGTTTGATTTCGAAATGAAAGGGTTTCAGTGTCCAGATGGAGTTTGGGTATTTGGAGATTACTATTGCCAAGAACACGCCTAGGTGATTTTTTATGGATGATGAGACTGGGAGAGTTTGGTTTTGTTTTTAAACCTTTTTGTTGTCGATATCCTATTTTGTGTTGCATAAGCCTAGTCTTCTCTTGTTTATCTATTATCTTTGATTGTAGTACCCACTATTTGCAGGAAACTAGGAAAAATAGTTGGTGGTAGAAGAAACCTCAAGAATTCTCTAGTCAAAGCCATCTACTCAGGCGAGTTTTCATCACTGGGTAGGAATTGTCGCCAAGGCATTTGGTCTATAAGGTGCATATATTGATTAACTTGGAGCTCCCCATTCGTTTTTTTGGGGCCAAAGAAGGCTACAATCATTATCAGTTATTGAAATACTTCTTAATGGATTTTGAAATTATATTCTGCATGATTCACAGGGATGATGCTTATGCGCAAGGGCAAGGTCCTCCTCCAATGGTGCAGGAACGCTTCCAAAGTGTTATAGGCCAGCTTTTTCAATATGTAAGGGTGTAGGTCTGCAATATTTATTTCCTTGAACCGGGTTTGATGTAGCACTTATATAGGTTGTTATCACGTTCGTTTGATACTTTTGTTTACTTATGGACTAGAGAATTATTCGTTGTGGGGGAGCCGTTGATGATGATATGGCAAATGTCATTGTCGCTCAACTTCTATACCTTGATGCTGTTGATCCCAATAAGGTTCTCTTTTTTGTTCTCAATTCATTTTAAGGAAGTAGCTCATGTACAGTTCATCTTGTTTTCTACATAACTAATTGATTAACCTAGTACTTTTGGTATGTATAACAGGATATTGTAATGTACGTAAATTCCCCTGGTGGATCAGTTACGGCTGGTAATGTTGAAATTGGAAAACCATTTCCATGATCGTTTGATCTGTTAGAAATTGGAACTGGCTTTGTCTTCTAACTAATGATTACTTGGATCTATGTAGGTATGGCCATTTTTGACACTATGATGCATATTAGACCCGATGTCTCTACTGTCTGCGTGGGACTCGCAGCCAGGTACAAGATCCATCAGATCACTACTTTTTAAAGCTTTTTAATCTGCTTTTCTCCTTTTATTTCCACAAGTGTCATTTACAATTGAGTGTGTCATTGCTGAATTGTCTTTGGGAAGAATTATTATCGAAAATAGTGGCAGATAACTTTCACTTGGTTCCAATCATCTTTTCCTGTCAAGATTTAAAATATCAATGTTGATATCATTATGGATGAAATTCAGATTTATGGATATATTGACGGCTATCTGAATATCGATGGATATTTTGGAAAAAGATCACGGATATCACGAAAACATAAAAATATTGTAAGATTTTTTTTGTGTAACTTTATAATAAACTTATTTAAGTTATAAAACACTATTTTAAGAACATAATACAATAATTAAACATCAATTATATGCATTGATACAGCAATAGATAGTATTGAAGGCTGAAAAATTAAAGGCCACAATTTATAAATAAATAAAAACTTGGAAAACAAGTACATGGTTGGTAATTCATAATAATATGACGTGCTCGGGGTATTAGACCAGCATCAATATCATTTATTTGCTAATGATAATATTGCTTCCAATTCATTATATCTTTAAAAATTAAATTAATAGTCATAGTATTAAAAATGGTGTATTCTAAAGGCTGGAGCCTTCATTATTATCTTCCCTCCATGGAGGCAGATTAATAAAAATTGATCAACTTAGGCCAGTCCAAATGTTTTAGTTTTAGTTTGACCTTATTTCATTATCGCACGTACCTGTAGTATTTCAATGAGGTAATGCTCGAGCTGGTCCAAGTGGTGTTGGTAGGCTCAAAACCTGGTGTTTTAGAATGGCACACGTATTTTTTAAAGACTAAACTGGCAAAAAATATATTTACAGTGCTTCAAAGTTTGCCGTGATGCATGTATCATGGACTCAACTTTTCTCGTGTAATTGTATCAATAGCTTAGGAGGGATAAAAAGGGGAAGCATGAATTGACTAGGAGGAGGTTTCCTAACCTAGTGCTGTTTTCTATAATTTCTCCCTTTCATTTTTGAAGTGATAGTTTGTTCTTACATTGGGTTTTCTGTTTATTCAATTATGCAGTATGGGAGCTTTCCTGCTTAGCGCTGGAACTAAAGGTACAAGTTTTTTTCGTGTTATTCATCTTTTTAATTTTATTTTTGTAGTTTCTAAAATGAAATGTTTTGCTCTTTTAAAAATAAATGACGTATATTGTGTATTAAGCCTGCACCTTCTCGTTTACTTATGAAGGAAAAAGATACAGCTTGCCAAATTCAAGGATAATGATCCATCAGCCTCTCGGTGGTGCTCAGGGTGGACAGTCTGACATTGATATTCAGGTATCCTTATGTATTCTCTTGGATGGTCAGTGATATATTGATCAAATTCTACGTTTGTTCCATGGTTTTTGTTACTTCCTTTGGTTGCATTCTATTATTAAGGTACGTCATAGTAGAGCTTTGAGGGTGAGTTTGGGAGATTATATGAAAGAAGCATTTGTTAAAAAGGAAAATTTTGGTACTTATGAAATTAGAAAAGCTTATAATAGATCACTTCGTTGGTTGGTTCCAATATTTCAAAGGGGCTTTTCATCTAATCTTTTTAATCTTCTTGTGTAAAAGATTAATATTTACTTAAAAAGAGATTCTAGGATTGAGGAAAACAACAAAACCCAAAAAGAAAAAAAAAAAAAAATGAGAGAGAAAATGTTGAGCGAGAAAGTATTTATAGATAAAAGTGTGGGTAAATAAATAATTGTGAAGGAGTGTATAAAGAGAGATTAACAGAAGAAAAATGTGTATTGAGAAAGAACATAGGGAAAAAGTGTAGGTAAAAGTTATTGAGAAAAGGCATATATGTACAGAAGCTACGTGACTTCTATGGGGGAGAAATTAATGAGATTATGTGTGAGATCCCACGTTGGTGGGGAGGAGAACGAAACATTCTTTATAAGGGTGTGAAAACCTCCCTCTTGCAGAAGCGTTTTAAAAACTTTGAGGGGAAGCCCGAAAGAGAAAGTTCAAAGAGGACAATATCTACTAGCGGTGGGCTTGGGCCATTACAAATAGTATCAAAGCCAGATACGGGGCGATGTGCCAGCTAGGAGGCCGAGTCTCGAGAGACACGAGTCAGTGTGCCAGCAAGGATGCTAGGCCCCGTAGGAGTGGATTTGGGGGGTCCTACATCGATTGGAGAAGGTAACGAGTGACAGCGAGGGCGTTAGGCTCCAAAGAGGGGTTGATTGTGAGATCTCACATCGGTTGGGGAGGAGAACGAAACATTCTTTTGTAAGTGTGTGGAAACCTCTCTCTAGCAAACGCGTTTTAAAAACCTTGAGGGGAAGCCCGGAAGAGAAATTCAAAGAGGATAATATCTGGTAGTGGTTATGTAGGTGTTAGGAAAGATTAGTGAGAGAGTGTGTATAGAGAGATATAGAGTAATAAGAGAAATGTGTTAAAGGTGAGATAAGTGTGAGAAGAGTGCGTAGAGAGATTAATGAGATAAGGATGCTAACCTCACGGACAACTGCTTAACTCTACAACATTCGGTTGTTAGAAAATGTGCTAAAATTTAAGCCTTTGGGTTTGAAACTCCAACCTATGCTTATTGGGGTTTTCAGTCTGTTTAAGCTAAGAAAATTCAATTAGCATCACTTGTTACTCACACCTCACAGATGTCTTGTCGCCCAGAATTGATCATGCCTCCAACTTGTGCAACTGGAGGATTTTTTCCGGACGTTTTTTACCCTCCATCTCGAACAAAAATTTCTGGCAATGTTGCAATGGGTATCATTTCCCAAACCTTCAAGAAAATGAAAATTTTCATGTCCACCACCTTGAAAAAGTTTTTGGCAGGAGAGTTTAGATTGCTCTTAGATCAACGATTGTACTAGGAATGTGCTATTGCTTTAAATTAGTAGAATATGATTTCATCCACGTTAATTTCATACATTTTCAACCTAGTCCCTAAACTGTAACTTGCATGTCAGGCAAATGAAGTGTTGCATCATAAGGCAAATCTTAACGGGTATCTTTCCTACCACACTGGTCAAAGTCTTGATAAGATTAACCAGGATACGGATCGCGATTTCTTCATGAGCGCTCAAGAAGCTAAAGAATATGGACTTATAGATGGAGTTATAATGAATCCCCTCAAAGCTTTCAAACCTTCAGCAGCTGCATCTGCCACCAAAGACTTGCCAGGTTCAACAGATTAGTTCATCTTGTAGATTTATAAGCGAAAACCATCTTAGTTTATGAAGATTTTGACCATTAACAACATGGCTTCCATGCCCCCTCTGGTTGGGTGGGATGACAAGAATGATGTTGGCCTAACACTTGGCAATATTTATTCAATATTGTGAAAAGATGCCGCCGACCCAACAAAAAGGCTGCATTATTATGTAGTCACTGTCTTGATTGTGGATTAATGTGCATTAGGTTTCAATGAATTTCCAATGCATTCGGTAGCTTTCCCTATACGTTGCATGGCGGTGGTTCTTATCTGGGAAATTGGTTGTTTCTGATATTTTAGTGTTTTTTTTCAATGGAGTTGTTGCATTATGGAAATGTTTCTTGAGAATATTGGGGTTGAAGTAGCATTATTACTCATTATTCATGATGTTTGAGTGTGTTTGAACTGAAAGATTGAGGAAAACATTATTTTACTGCTTCCTCCAAAAGTAGTTTAGAATGTTTTGGTACTATGAACGAGTTCTCGTAATGTTCGATTGATACTTTATGTAATCTATTTTTAATGAGGTATTTAGTTCATTCAACTATATATGAAGAGATTTAAATTCTTAGGGATATATATGTTGGTTTGGATTGAAAAATTCTTTTGGACTAACTTCAAATTAATAACTCAGGTGAACAAGAACAACTTGTATAGAATTCTGTTGGGTTAGTGATTCAATAATCTGAATACAGTTTACAGTTCAATCTAATCCAACCTTAGAATTGTGTTGAGTTGTTTTTTTTTAACCGAACATTTACAAGTCATAACCATCACTAATATCGTTTACAATTTAAAGATTATTTTCATGGATTAGGATTCCATTTAGCACACTTCGTCTTAAAAAGAAAAATTCAAATAAGTCACCTAATATAAAATTATTCCATGTAAAATATGTTTAATTATACTGAAAAAAAAAAAGACTTTCAATTATTTTAAAGTTTCTTTAGATATTTTTGTTGAGTGTCTACTTAATTTAGATGTAATCTCAACTTATTCCTATATTAAAAATCTTAATTTTGTATTTTCTTTTTAGAAATTCTAAATACGGTAATAAAACTTCACTTAAATATCTAAATTAAAATTTTGAATTTAATAAATGAATATAATAATAATAATAATTATAACAAAGTTCATACATAAATTGAGATTTAAATTTATAATCATGTACAAAGAAATAGTAGAAGACAAAAACCAAGGAGAAGAAATTTTTTTATTTTGGAAGAATTTTTTAGACCCTTTTGAATGTATTATAAATTAACCGATTTGAGTATATTTGCTAAATATTAATAAATAAACATGTAATAATATTAAATAATATACATGTAACGTTACTTATTATATTATAAAATTGAAACATGCAATCACATATTCCTCAACTTTCTGTTATTTTATATATATATATATATATATGTAATGATTTGACCAAGTCTGAGTCAACTCATCATCCAAAAAAACTGTAGACGTGGCATCCACTTTAAATGATTACAAGATTATTCCAAAACACACCTACTTAGATATTTATAAACATTTAATTTTTCTGTTTATTTATTTATACACCAAATGAAATTGTTTTTCGAAAAAGACGGCATGGAAATTCTAAGAGCTTGGTTTTTGTTTCATCTGTTGGCCGTCAACCTTCTTGCCCTCTTGCTTCCCCTCTCGCTCCTCCTCCTCGCTCGCCTCTCTTCCGCCCTCTATCTCGCCGGCCCGCCGTTGCTTCCGCCCCTGTTTCTCTCTCTTATCCTCTATCTAACCTCCCCTCTTCTTATCCTTCTTGTTTCTTTCGTTGTCCTCTCCGCCCTCCTCCACTCCCTCACCGGAAAATCTGCTCTTCCGACCAAACTGCCTGCCCCTGTCTCCCAACCCCGTCTTTACACTACATGGATTTTCCTCTGCACTCTTCAGGTACGTCAAAACACATTCATTCTTTTTAGTTTAAACAGTTGTGGATTATTGAGAGGGAGTCTCGTACTGACTAATTAACAAATTAAGCTTTTGGAAATTCCAAAGCAAAAATCATGAGAGCTTATGCTCAATGTGTACATATCATATTATTGTGGAGATTCGTAATCACTTACATTGTATCAGAGTCGTGCCCCTTAACTTAGCCATATCAATAAAATCCTTGTGTCGAACTGAGAATGTTTGATTAATCCACCACACTTAAATGGCGTGAAAGTTATCTTATTTATAATCAAATAAATTACATAAATGGAAAGATAGGTAGGGTAGATATTTGACTTGTAATAAAATATCAAATATAATATATATGGTAAACTATAATTTATTACTAAATATCTTTAACACGAATAAATAAGTTATAAGACTCGATGGAACAGTCAAATGTGAGTCAGGTGTCGAACAAAGGGTGTGCTTTGTTTGAGAACTTCTGATAAAGGAGTTGAATCTCAATTAAAAGGAGAGACTATTCAAGGGCGGTGTACTTTGTTTGAGGGCTCCTGAGGAAGGAGTCGAATCTCAATTATAGGGAGAGACTATTCGAGGGCTACATAGATCTTAGGAGAGGCTCTATAGTATATTTTGTTCGAGGGGAGAATTGTTGGGAGAGAGACTCACATCGGCTGATTAAGGAGTTTGATCATGAGTTTATAAGTAAGAAATAAATCTTTATACGAGGCGTTTTGGAGAAATCTAGAACAAAGTCATGAAAGTTTATGTTCAAAGTAGATAATATTGTTAGACAAACACGAATCTCCACAATCGTATGATATTGTCTACTTCGAGCATAAGCTCTCTTGGCTTTGTTTTGTGCTTTTCCAAAAGACTCATTCCAATGGAGGGAGTATTCTCTTGTTATAAATATATGATCATTTTCTAAATTAGCCAACGTAGGACTTTCATCATCCAACCAATATAACGTGATTCCTAAAATAAATATGGTAATTTATATACAATATTTTAATCAATTGAGCGAACAACAACAGGTATGTGTCGGCGTCGGGATCGAGGGGAGCTTATCAAGCGGCCTAAACAACCCAGCGGCAGGGCACATCGAGGGTGGTCTATGGAGGAGGTTGTTGTTCTTCGTTGGCTTGCATGAGGCGGTGGTGCACTGGACAAGGGCGGTGGTGAAGCCGGTGGTGGACGACACCGTATTTGGGGAATCTCGAAAGGAGAGGTGGTTTGAGACGGCGGCGACGGCGGTGAGCTTGGGTGGGGTGTGGTGGTGGCGATTGAGGGATGAGGCAGACGCGCTGGTGGTTGTGGCGGAAATAAAGTGGTTGACGTCGGCGGAATTGGGTCCGGCGGAGGTTGCTAATTGGTGCCTGTATTACATAATCGTAGGCATTGGAATTGGTAAGATTGTGAATTCTGTTGCATGGTTGGTTCGGATTTTGGTCTCTAAAAAACATTCTAAATGCTCGGATGAGGTTGTCGTTGTGAACAATGTTTGAAAATTTTAATTAATTCTAAAATTTACAATTTGTTGGTCGCATTCATTTTATTTCGCCACTTGTTAATTAGTTACACTATTTAGAATATTGGTTAAATTACCAATTCAACTTCTCAATTTTTTTTGAATTTATATATATCTAAGTTAAGGGTATAGCTATCTGATACCATATTGGGAACTACATACCCGCACAATCAAAAGGCCTCGTATTAGATATATTTCCTTATTTATAAACTCATAATCAATCCTTTAATTAACCGATGGGAGCTTCTCTCTCAACAATCCTCTCCGGGAAAAAACTACACCATAGAGCCTCCCTTGAGGCCTATAGAGCCCTCAAACAACCTCTCCTTAATTGAGGCTCGACTCCTTTCTGTAAAGCCCTCGAACAAAATACACCATTTGTTGAGTCATTTTTTTACTACACTTTTTTAAGCTCACAACTTCTTTGTTTGACATTTGAGAATTCTATTGATGTGACTAATTGTAGGGCATGGCTCTGATGCTATGTTAGGAATCACAGACCTTTTGTAAGAGCTAAGCTCACCATTAGCAGATATTGTTCGCTTTAGCATGTTATGTATCGTCGTCAACCTCACGGTTTTAAAATGCATATTCTAGGAAGAGGTTTCCACACTTTTATAAATAAATGTTTGGTTTTCCTCTCTCTCTGGTTTCACAATCCACCTAGGAATTCTCATCAGGAACATGTTCTATTTTTGGAAAAATATGAAGTTGTTCTGTTGTTTGATGCTTCAGTCAAGAGGAGGCCATGCTTGAGGCAAATATGTTAAATAAAGAGTTGAAGATTAATAGTCTCCCGACATGAAATTTGATGGTAGATTGTTGGGAGAGGAATTTCACGTTGGCTAATTAAGGGGTTGATCATGGATTTATAAGGAACACTATCACAAATGGTATGAAGGTTGGGGAAACCAAAAGCAAAATCACGAGAGTTTATGCTCAAAGTGGAAAATATCATAACATTGTGTAGAGTCATGGTTCCTAACATGGTATCAAAGTCATGCCCTTAACTTTATCATATCAACAGAATCAATTGTGAGTTTCAAAGATTTAGTCAAAAGTGACTCAAGTGTAGAACAAATTGTGTACTTTGTTCGAGAGCTCTAGAGAAGAAGTCGAGCCTTGATTAAGGGGAGGTTGTTCAAGGGCTCCATAGGCCTCAAGGGAGGGAGGCTCTATGGCATACTTTGTTCGAGAGGAGGATTGTTGGGAGAGGAGTCTTACATCGGCTAATTAAGGGAGTAGAAACATTATCTTCATTAATACAAGGCTCAAAGTAAACAATGTCATACCATTGCAGAGTGATCGTAGAGAATCGAGAACATTTTGAAAGTTTATAAAATTAAAATTTTAGTTTTATTAGAAATCCTATTAAAAATAGTGAGATTTATTTTTAAAAAAATATAAAAATTGAGCAATCTATTAATTATAGTTGACAAATCAAATCCATAATTAGTTGGCAAATCAAAATCACAAAAATAAAAATAAAAATAAAAATAAAAAAACCCTTATTTTGGTTGGTTCCTCTTGATTAGTGTTAATTATTTATGATGAATAGATAATATTTTTCAATTGAAAGCTCATCTCAGCCTTCAACCATTGATATCAATGAGCAATGGAATATGATACACAAACCTTACAAAAAGAATTCATTTCACCATTTCATTATAGTTCAAATGGAAATACAACAACTCATTCCATGTATCAGGAACACCAGGCAGGCACCAATGGCTGCAATCTTCACCTCCTCTTGAACCCTGCCTATTTACAACCGATTTCCCGTACATGGACGGGTGCCCGTCGATCCGATAATCCGATAAACCAGTTACGTTCAACAAAGTAACTCGAGTTTTCATCTGACTTATCACATCTTCTACAATCACATTCTTCTCTGGGTAACCCAAGTTTGATGATGTCACATTTAGAGGTTCTGTTGCTTCCCTGCAATGCCCACCTGAATTCCACTGCCCTCCCCTATATTCAAAAACATCACACATACTCAGCAACTCAGGAGATTGTCTTTGCAAGCTGCTGAAAAGTTGATATCAATACCTGAAATGGGACGGTGCTGAACTTCGAAAGAAAACTCGGGTTTTCTTTGAATTTATGTACTTATCGACCCATGCTCCCCAAGTCGTCAAAGCTCGTTTGAACGCAATATTTACGTCGAGTCTAGGAAGAACTTGGTCTCTTTCTTGGTAGTAATTGATCCTGTTGTAAAACCAGTTCATCATGAAAGATTTATACACAATTTGGATCATTTGACATAAGAATAGTGAATAAGTAGTGAGTAGAGCAGGAATTTCTATAATTAGACTGACTAAAAGGTTGCTAAGTTAGGCTCAATGTACGCTGTCGCCGTCAGCACATGGCTTGTTGTCTAGCTTTGATACCATTTGTAACAGCCCAAACCCATGGCTAGCATTCCCTCAAGGTTTACACTCACTTGTAAGCAATGTTTCGTTCTCCTCTCTTCAACCGACGTGGGATTTCACACCAAAGAGTAATGGAACCAGTCAAAATGGGTAGGACATTGCTTCTACTAGAACTATGAGGACAACAAAGGAACTAACCCTGATTTTGTTTTGTAATGAGACCACCAATGAGCAGAGTTGAAAACCAAAACATCAGCACCCCGCCATCTCGACGAGCCCCGATCGATGGTATCGATTCGCAGCGTCTGTATGCGTCGCCGTCCCAACCTTGCCTTGTCCTCATGAACAAGAAAATGCGAGACATAGAACTCAACAGTACACTTGTAATCCTTCAAACAGAAACAACAGACATCAACAATGACAACAACTGATAAATCTACAAGGAGGAAAGAACTTATCAAAGTAGAATGAATTACCACAAACTTAAAGCTATAATTCCCTTTCTTCTTGGTGATTCTTCGGCCACGAGTTTCATAGACCTTCCTTGGATCTTTAATGGCACTAAACAACATACACAGCATAGATTCCCATTGGTTTCTGTTGATTGAATCTCCCACAAAGACAATCCTCTTCCCTCTTATCAGTTCCAGCATTTTTGTTGCGTTAAATCTTCATTCAAATCCCACAATCATAAACCCAGAAACCTACGGATTTGTTGGCCAAAACTAAGAAAAAAAATGAAGATGAACATACCTGTAATCGTCACAATCTTGGGGTTGCCATTTGAATTTCTTGTAGTTCAAATCCAATCTGCCATTTCCCTCGCAATCAAAACCTTCATCAATGAAAGGACACGAACCATTCGAGTACAGTGGGTTGCTCTCATCAAAAACCCACTTCCCCTTTGTTAAATCACACCGATGAGATTCGTTTCTCACTATCTTCTTTGGGGATTCTAATTTCTCCAATGGAATTTTCACTTCTTTGTTCTTAATCATCTCGCTGATGGGC